GAAACCTCATTAAAATGGAGCCCAAACAAGGGCTAAATGCGACACCTGAATTTCCATTGCTCCTTTTTTTTGAGTTTCATTTAAACCATTCAATTCATAGATGTAGATCTCTGACCTATGAATGGGGATGTTCCTGAAACTCAATTTTAATCTTTAAAATGAGTTATTAATTCCCTGGACATCATTCTTGGCAGCACACCTCTTTGATCAACTGTTTCTTACAACCAGACTTGTGGGATATGTGCCTATGCATAATGCATTCTTTCCTATGAGAACAATATTTAACTTTTGGCTACTTCTCATCTAGCTTTTTAACTTGTCATCTTTAGGAACTCAGTCTTGCAAATCATCTTTTTGTTCGTTAAATAGTTAAGCTTCTGGTTGTTCCTGTAATATGATTATTTGGTTATGAAATTCAGAATGGCTTGTTGCTTCTTGAGATATAAAAATAGTTAGTTGCAACCTGACTTGGGTAAATTATACCGCTACGCATACTGCATTCATTCCTAGTAGAACAATTTAACTTTCATCTGCTTCTCATCTAGCTTTTTAGCTTGCATATTTAGGAATACAATCTTATAAGTAATCTTTTTGTTTGTTAAATAATTAAGCTTCTGGTTGTTCCTGTATTTGCAAAAATAATAATTTGGGATATGATTATTTGGTTATGAATTCCAGAATAGTTTGTTGCTTGTTGAGCTATAAAAATAGCTGCAACCAAACATGGATAATCCAAGGAACCAAAGCAATGTCGGTTTTGACTTGGAGATTTATTTTTGTTCTATTTTTTATGGTTTTGACGTTCTCAAGAAATCTTATGTTGTGATCAACAATCATGGAAACTCCTAGTGACTTGATCTTGTAACTGGCTTTTTGAACAGGTATTTAAAGGTAAAAAGATGCCTGGACATATGGGTGTTGAGCAAAGAACAGTTAAAAATGTTTGGGTTTACAAAATTGACCCTGCAAGGAACTTGATGTGGGTGAAAGGCCAAGTACGGTTTTCTTGCTCTTCTTCTTTCTACTTAGATGCATGCTTAGGTTCTTCTTGAATTCAGTAGGATTTATGTTCTTATCTAACTACTTCTGTCATAAAGTAAAGCAACATGTTGAATTAGCTCAATTTTTCCACAGTTGAAGTATAGCTTAGTAAAAGGGCCTAATTTATTATAAAAAATTGACATGATGTGGGCCAATAGGCAATGTATTCAATGTGTTTGGCATAAAATGCTAATCATTGGGCTGTAAGTTTGTGTCTTAAGAATTTGTCCTCCGTTGACTCATCTGTTAATAATATTTATGTTACTCTTGGTCCTCCAAGGGGGAGCATTTCTCTTTTCTTGAGCTCTTGTTAATTGTATTGCCCCTTTCTGAACTGCTGCTACCTTTCCAGGTTCCAGGGGCCACAGGAAATTTTGTGTTCATAAAAGATGCTGTGTACAAGAAACCAGATATATCATTGCTTCCATTTCCAACTTTTTTTGCACCTGAAGATGAAGACCCTTCGAAGTTGGAACCTTTGCTAGCTGATTTAGGTGATACTGATCCGTTCATGGCTGCAGATTGATCAGAGGGGCTATTATGCCATTTGTATTGTTTTTTTTCCTTTTCATTTTCTTTATAAATGGAGTTGGAGTTGGGGTTGGGGTTGGAGTTGGAGTTGTGGGTTCAGTTTACTGAAATTTTGATGAATAGTGCCGGCTTCTATGGAATTTAGCAAGCCTCAGGTGCATTATGATTTTCCTTTTCAAGTTATATTACACAGCAGGTGAAGTGCAGAGAATGCAGTACTGTTTTACTAGAACTGTCTTTAAAATTGTTTCAATAAATGTGTAACTTGGTTTACTTGTTTGCATTTACCTCCTTTCACCTAGGTTAGGAGGGGAGGCTAGGCTGCAAATTTTTGCTGGGAGATTTGGTGTGTAACGTGTTAGTCCATTTCTATGTCAACTCATCTAAAGTTAACCTAAGGGTCCCTGGATTTTTACCATACATGCAAATCGGTCACTGAGCTTCAGTGTGGTTCAATCCAGCAACTGTACTTCAATTTACGAGAAATCAAGTCATTCCATTTGAGGTCCACCCTCTGATTTAAGGATGGTTGATTTAGTTGAAAAATATTCAACATGAAAAAAGAACATAAATACGAAACATTGCATCTTCTTTTGTGAAGGATGGGTCTTTTTAGCTCATCTTCTTTGCTACT